GGCACAAAGAGATGTTTCTGCCCCCCCTCACTGTTATCGTCTTTGATACTGTTGGTGTGTTTATCTTCTTTGCCTGTGTCTGATTGTCCATCTCTCTTGTTTTTGTTTATGCACGCTTTGTTTGATACATCCATGGAAATATTGTCAGGGTGTTACTCTAAATCACACCGCGGCACGAGCAGCATTGCATTGCACTTACATGGAAGCCAGCTCGTCTCCACAGGGCAACTAAATATATTTAAAGTTTTAGGTGTTCATTCAACGTGTGGGACACGAGTGACATACACATGTATCTCAAGACAGTCTGCACCGAGCTCCCTGTGCCCAGGCAGAAAGGGGTGCCGCGGCTGGACCGCTGTCCTGGTTTAAACCAGCAGAGGCAGCTGGCAGGAACCAGGGTGTACCCCTCAAATCTTTCAGCAAACTTTGAAACCAGCAGAGCACGAGAGCAGCAGAGTTTGGAGAAGAATGCTCATGTGCATGGCAATTTTCTTCAGGCATCTGCCCAACACTATGCCAGCATGGTGTACAGGTAGGATATTTTCTGAAAAAAAAAAAAAGATTCATATAAATATAAATGCTGTGAATTCGGGCCATGCTGCATTGCCTCATACATTGATGGCGTTTGTAGCAGGACATGTATACATAGTATACAGACTGCATAATCTTGGGTTATCATATTGATGTCACATGATGAACTGCAACTTATTTGGTATGCTCAAATAAATATGGATTTAGTCTAAATCCAGATGGGTCAAACAGCCTTTTTCATTTATAACAGTTAAAATCTAGTGAAAGTAAGGATTAAAGTTTAATTCTGCTCAGCAGGGTTCCTGTCCTGTTTATATACTGAAGGCTTTCCATCTGCTGATAAAGGAGAGTATAGTACAGGTGTGTGAAGGCACAGTAGACACTATAATGTCTTCAGTGGCTTTGGCAGGTTTTAGTAGTGTGGAGCAGCTGAGGATTTAAAAAAAGAATAAAGTAAAGGCCTCTTGTTTGAGCTGATTGTCGTAGAAAGGGAATAAGCTCTCAGCAGTAATGATCAGGTGCTATATCATTAAATGGAATGACACCTGCTGTAATTGTTATTTCTGAAATGTGCAGTTTAGTATTATTTGGCAATGCTTTTCTTTGTAAGTTCAAAATGATTTGCATTTGCCACCAAATTCTCATTCTACCTCCTATGATTGTGTATGTGTCTGTGTGGAGTAATAACTGAACAATAGAGTGCAATTAGCTGTTAGAGCCAAATAAATGTGCCATATTTTTTGATTGTACTTTGACTGTACATGAAACAATGTCTTAACAATCACTTGTTTGAACTGTATACATGACATTAAAAAAAACATTTATTTGAGCTGGAGTCCCAACATAAAATCATATAAACAATATACAATGGACACAACAATGAAGTCCCTTTCCTAATGTATATAGGTCCTTCCTATTCCATGGAATGCCTCTAACCTGACTGGATCACTAAATGATAATTTATTAGATCGGGTTTCTCTGAGACCAGACTTCTTGTTGTCTTCCTGACATATAAGCAACATCACCTGAAGTTATTCTACACTGCTCAAAGAAATTAAGGAAACACTTGATCATCACATTATAACACCAAGACAGTTAAACTTCAGGGATCAATCTGTCCGTTTAGGAAGCACAAGTGATTGTGAACCAGTTTCAATGATTCTTTTTTTTTTGTGCTTTAAGCCAAACACACTTCTGTGTCACACTATGAGTTGCCATGATAAAATTCACACAGTTTGGATGAGCTTGTGATTTCAATTCTGCACTTTGATTTTCAGTGTGATTTTGAATACAGCCCTCCATGGGCTGATGATTTTGGCTTCCTCCTGTTCCTAGTCTTTTGGTTGAGTTAAATTAGCCACCTTGCTGGCAATAGCTACATATATTTAACAAACAGAACCGAGAGTGGTTTAAATCTTCTAGCAACTCTTCTTCTAGCAAGAAAGCAAAACATACTACCCAAATTGTCAGACTGTAACATATTATAGCCTACAGTATGTCGATTGTTTTATCTATACAGTGTGCAGACCTATGAGTATTATCAGTCTTCTCAACTAACAAAACTAACAACTTCCAAAATTTAGTTGGAAAGTGAAAAAGAATATTTTTCAAACTGTTTTGTTAATGGTAACCCTTTCCTGTGATATACAGACAACAAATCAGCCAAGTTCTTTGCACATAAAACATAAAACATGCATGTAACACTGTTAAAAATTAAAGAACATAAAAATATAATTTGTTTTATTGAACAAATAAACACAAATATTTAGGGAGCTATTAGCTTAGACAATTTTGCTTCAATAAAACTCCAGAATAGCTTGTAAATCTTTTTTATCCTGAGGGTGAAATTCTGCAGGTACACGAACATTTCATCAATACTAAATCTATGAACCACTGAGTGCTTCAACATTAGAAATAAATGAATCTGCCTCCACTTTCTGCAGTCATTCAGTATATAGCTATTACTGTATGAAGCCAAATATCTGCCAGTGAGATCCATTAGGGTCACAAGGCATCTGTAGGTGCTATCACAGTAAAGACGTAAGCATCCATCACTTTCATCTTATGCATGGCATTCTAACTGAGATTAGATTGGGACAGGAACTGGCCTGATAATAATGCTGACACTGAGAAATATAATGGGAGCGGCAGAAACGATGATGACAATAATAAGATTTTTTTGTCTTTGCGCATGTTTGCTGGCCCAGAGTGGAATTTGTAGTGCTTACTGTAATAATCATGACCATTACATTGTTCAGTCTTCACAGAGTCTGTACCACCTGATTAGGGAAGAGTAAACAATGAATCCTGGCTCTATGGTGCTGTACTGTATGTGCAGTGCATCACAATGATGTGGTCCCAGACAAATCTACAGAATGAGGGGAACGTGTATGGACTTGGAGGGAGAGGGAGAGAGAGAGAGCAGCGTTAAATGCTGATTAAGAGAGGAGAAATGGGAGAGGGGTGAGAGAGAGTGGGACTGCTGCAGCAGTGATGTCACAGGCAGCTTGGAAAGGTTTCCCCCCCTCATTATCTCTCATTTTCTCTACAGAAGGTTAGCGCTGATAAGGAAAACTATCTATTAGACATTGAATAGTCTTTTGAACATGTCAGTAAAATGTGAAATACAACATTTTTAGACTGTTAACAGAGCTGTAATTATATTACATGGAATTTAACGTTAGCACAGGCTTTATTTACACAGCAGTGGCTATTATAATGTGAGGATAATCTTAGTTCTCTTTATACACAGAGCATTTTGGTGCTATTGAGCCATGCTAACAGATGTTTCAAACTATGGGAAATTCAGTGTAAGGTTACTCTGAAAGGATTTATCTGACTCCTCACTGCAGCGTCACGGTCAGTTTTGATACTGTATGTGCAAACTCACAGTATGGAGGTTGTGCTGTATAACTCCATTATAGGTTCTTACTGGAGCAATTAAGACAGATTGGTTTTCCTCAGGGTAGCAGTGTTCCAGTCCATTGGGGATTCCAGCTGAGGACATATAACGGTTTTAGTTGAGGCTTTTGACTGGCACACTTTAAAATTGGATCAACAGGGAGGAAGTTGTAGCCCAGAATGTGCTGGTGACATCAGAGGAACATTTGTGACTCTGTCCTGCAGTGCAGTTACCTCTCCTGACCATTGCAGAACAGCTTCCAGTTTTGGTGAAGGGCTGTGTGATTTAAAAGGCCACTCTACTGATTTTACAGTAGAGAAGTACTACTCGGGCTGTGAAAGCATTTGAATAATGCCTTCAGAGCCGTGGAGGTAGTTTTCCACAATCTGCAACAATGACCTTGACCTTGATAATATCATCAGGGGAATGTCTTCTTCCAAATCCTTGACAGAAAGCATTTAAACATGCAAGGTTTAAAAATATAAAACTATCATGTTACATTCTGGAAATTGTAGGATCTTGCATTTTTACATATTGACCCATATTAAAGTATAAGGCCAGTGATTTTTTTTAATGTCACTTTCGACAAGTTGCATGCAGACTGAAAGAAACATTTTTTGTTGGATACCTGCACCTGTAATTGGTGGCCTTATATGAATTTATTTGGCCAATTATTGGATATATTTATAATAGGATCTGGTAGTATTTTTCTGGTTTCAATTCCACAGATGTTTCCACCCACACCTGAGTTAAGAGGTAGTCGGTAGTCATTGTTTCATCTCTGTTGGTCTTATGCCAAGAAGTTGGAATAGCACTAGTTTGGACTTAAGTCTTTAGCATTACAGTTTGAATCGCCAACAACCAACAACCACCCTGAGCTCCTGCTGAGCCAGCCTCTGCATCATAAATGAAAAGGCCCTAACTGATTGTTACCAGTGTATTCTGTTCTGTCAAATCCGAATTACATGAACATAAACTGCAAGATTTATGGATGTTCAGTGATCTATGAATTCCTACACTGTCACATTACTACTCACTGAGGAAGGAAAGTAACACAGTATGCTGCCTGAACACTGGTTCATGCTTTATTTCACTATGCCACTTCAGCTGGTTTGTACTTAATGTCTTGTCTAGGATGTCAGTGTCAGAGTAGGTGTTGAGCCTGAAGCCTGAAATCAGCTATAGCGTGCAGTACAGTAACAGTGCATAATAGAAAATGCTTTGAAATTATGTCATAGCTCAGATTGAAAGTGAGAGCTGACTGCATGATGTAAAGAAGGCATGTGCTGTAAAAGCAAACAGAAAGTAAGATGATGAATTGCTCACCTCCACAGACAGGTGAAGCATACCTGTGATGTTCACATGCAGGTCACTGTAATCAGCCACAATATGCCACATCAAGCCTAAGGTAATTTTTAAATTCACACACACACACACACATTATATCAATCAGCTCCCTGTATTTCCATTCAAAAGATATTTCTCTCTCTATTCCTCTCTCTCTCTGAGTGTGTGGTGCTACAGTGAAAAACACTGCAGTTCTTTCAGCCAGTCAGTCAGAGCCAGTAAGCTATACACAGTCTCTCTGCCCTCATTCAGTGCCTGGCTCTACACTCAACACGCGCTGTTCCTCGCCTCCTCGCTGCATCTGTCCTCTACTCCCTGAACTGAGGTACCATGCATCCTCCATTCTCCTCCTCCTCCTCCTCCTTTCTGCTTGTCTGTTACCATTCCAGGGTCCCTTTATCAAACAGAGCCTTCTTGCTGCAAAGTCAAGGACCATAAAAGGAGGACTTTAGAGACGGGACAAAACTGTTTGCCAGGTCTGAAGACAGCTGCTGGAAGCGTTGCCACTGCTTCTGTTGGGATGCAGATCTTTGTGGAACCTCTGCTTGCTGTTTAACACCGCTTGATTCCTGGAAAAGTTGCAGGAGGGCATACATGTCCAGAATTTAATTTCGCCTCATCCTCGCTTCTCAAAGAGCACTGACAACTCACTGTGCATAAGAGGTGAATTTGTGTTTTGTGTGTTTGCAGTATGTGTTATAAGTAGATACAACTGCAGTCGTTTGTCATAGAAGACTTGTGAACGTTTGGTATTTATTTGCAAGCCTTTGCTTTACTGTGATAGCATGGCTTTAATTTTAAGAAGTGTGAGTAGGAATTTGTGACTGTATGTATAAAGTGTCAGAAGCACAGTGTAGTGGTGCAGTGTTACTCTCATCACTCCGGGTGTTTGACTAAAAGGCTTAGCCTCGGTTAGAGGCCGTGGCTCCCCAGTCACCCACAACTCCTGGCAGCCTGACAGAAGCTTCTAGACACCTTAAAGAGAAACACATTAAAAGAGGCATTAGAGGTAGGCTCTGTAAACAGAAATGGACTAATCAGAAATGAGCAGCAGACGGAATTTGAGCTGAAAAAGTGGGAAAAAAGAGAAAAATGAGATGGAAACACTACATTTTTTGCAAGTCAGACTTCTTTTTGGTTTAGGAGCACATATTTTCTCTTCCAGTAGCACCTTTAACCCTCACCCTTCTAACAAACACAAGTGCATTCCTTTTTCTCATTGGATAACTCTTTAATTCTCCTTCATCCTTCTACCCTCCATCTCCACCCTCTCTCATGTTTTCAGGTGCAGTCAGACCTGCTCAGGAACCCTGTCTCGACTCCTCACACACTGACCAGAACTGTCCTGCTGCTATGTGCAATCTTTATATAACACCGGCTTGAGATTCTTCTCTCAAAACAAGCTGAACAATCTTATGCTCTCATCATTCCTACTTGTGATTTCCATGTGAGATTCAGCAGCACCGAGCAGAACTGGCCTGGATCACTGACTTTCAACTTCACATAAAAACAAGGACAAAATCTGGGTTCCAGGTGCAGGAAAAACAGACTGTTCAGTACCATAAGGACACACACACACACACACACACACAAAAAGCCTTGTCTTGGAGCAGCTCAAGTGGCCTCTGCCATCAGCCATGCAGGTGTCCTTTGCATGTACAGACCACGGGCTGAAGGTCCCGCGTAACGGTGAACACAGCAAGCAGAACGCCACCAGCCTGAACACAACCAGCCAGGCCCGCACTCGCTTCCGCACCGTGGCCCTGATAGCTCGCAGCCTGGGTTCCTTGACCCACCGCTACCACCACAACCTCAAGGAGTCCACCGCTAAGCTCACTGGCATGAAGTACCGGTATGTAGACTGACATGATGATAGAGACTGTGTAAGAGAGTATTGAATTAGACAGAGGAGGAGTGTTTAGTTCATTTAGTTTCTCTCTTCTGTCCAGCAAAACTAGCCACAGCTGTGGATGTAAGCAAAGCTAAAATTAATGAATGAATATGAATGACAACATAATTAATGAGCAAATGGTAGAAGAATTAAAAATGAGAAGGCTACATCAATTAAAAGAGCCCTGAAGGAGACAATGAAGATACATGAGCCGTGACAGGTGATGAGTGGGTTGGTGTTTGAGCATCCCTTTGTGTATGTGTTAAAAGAAACGAGATATTTTCCAAGATTTAGATTTTTTGGCTAATTAATCTGCTGTAATTATTCCAAATTAATAGTGCCTGTAGAGAACCAGGATCTGCAGCAGTTTACATTGTCTGGAGTAGAGTGGAGTGGTGACATACAAATACAGAAAAGATAATGTTCTTCAGACACACAGAAAAGCTTTTTTAGCTAAAATGCAAACCAGTTTGAAACGCACATGAATCTTCCTCTTGGCCAAAATGGTAAAAACAGTGATTACACCTATCGACAGTAGAACAGTAGAAAACAGTATTCTATAAAAGAATTAAATGACCATCAAGTACATGGAAAACACCCCCGACAAAGAGGTTCTAACATTATGAGAATAAAACAATAGAATCAAGCCTAATAACCATAGACGTTATTAAACAAGTGGCACTGAACATCTGTACCAGCTGTTTGTACTGACAAAATCTGTATATAAAGAGGAGGTTTGAGGAGTTTGGTGACAAATGTGAGATGTTGTAGCACAGTTCGTATACCAAAGGAATAGTATTGGAAATTTCACCAAACACAGATACGTTAGAGACAAGACATGGCTTTTAATCTAGCCTGTCTGAATTACCTGGAATTTATAAAGCAAGTTTAATATAATAAGAATAATATCATTATTGATGGTAGTAAAGCAGTTCAAGACTAATGCACATGTGAAATAGAGATAATGGTACCAATAAAATATATAAAACCTGTGAAACAAGTGTTATGGTGAAGTGCACTCCACATAACAAAACACCTGACTGTATCAATCCTGAGGTCTCTCGTGAGCTTGGTCACTACATCACCATTATCAGCTTAAGAGTCCAACACTGCCACATGCAGTTTTTAATAAGTGGCCATGACCATAGAGTACATTCTGGAAAGTGCAGTAGAGCTCTCCATGTGTGACTGTGTGGGAGTTGTAACAAGGCTGGGCCAAGTAAACAATGCGTTCTTGTTTGAGTGAGTGAACTTCCTCAACCTGGGCCTCAAGAGCAAAATAGTGTTAGCTCACTGGAGAAGATGACATCATCACTTACAGTGTCAGGATCCAGAGAGAGAGAAAAGTTGGAGTTAGAAAGATATCAGATATAAAATCAGATACTAAATGAAAGAGAAAATTGGGGCACTGGGGTCAGTTCACAGAAAAGAGGCAATTAGCAGAATCTGAGCCAATTGGATGTGGGGCAGCTAAATGTGAAAAGTGTCTGCTTGTCACACAATCTCATCTCGTTTCCATAACAACATTGAAATGGCCATCTTCAATCTGTTCTCGGCACCAAACAAGCCTGATGACTCCATTGTGATAAAATTTTCAGCTTTAACAAAAGAATCTTTCCATTAAGTGAGAAAATAGATTTTGAAATTCTATTGGATCCTTCAACTATTCAGCTCATTCAGAAAGTTACAGACAAAAAAGCCACATTGCTTGTTCCGCTGTTGTTTCCATTTTCCTTAGACAGACACTGTTTTTGGGGAGGGTTGTAATATGAAGATTTGCTCATTCTTGTAGCTCTTTCTAAGAACAGGCGGAGGGTGTTGGCAGTAAAGCTTCCTCCACACCCGCAGCAATTCACCACTTTTAACCACAGAGAGGCAAATTTTGGGCAGAACAATATCATCTGTCACATCCTCTCTCTGCTCTCTGTAAGGCTGATGTTGTCTCTTTCCATCTCTTTCTCTGCTGTATCTCACATTTTTTCCAAACCTCTGACTCACCGTTATTCACATAAAGTAAATAACTTTATCACTTTGGATGCCATCTGACAAGGAATCTCTTTCTCTTGAGGTGAAACCAAGTCCACAGCTAAATCTGTGTCACACATACGCTTAGATGTTTTCTCTGTGTTAAATGCACTGGCACACCGCATTACATACATGAGTGCATGTTCGTGCACTTGACATGTGTGGCACTGAGGCGCTAAAGCAGGAAATATCTGAAGGTGTAGCAGGTTGAAGCAGAAGCTTTAGTGTGCAGACTGAACAGCAAAAACTAATAATACCGCCATATGCAGCATTTTAGTTGTCATAGCAATCCAAATATAGAGTAGTTGCATTACTGGTGTCCCCTAGTTGCAGTCTTCCATGGCCATTTGTGCTCTTCTTGCTCTTAAAATAACAATTCCACAACCATCTCGCATACAGGCCAAAATATTTGATGTAACAAAACTGTTGTTGTTGTTGGTTTCAAAAAGTATGCAGATTATTTCTGGTTCCTGGTAGGGAGCCCCTGGTCGCATGGACTATAGCTCATAAGGGTCATTAGGCAGCAGAAGGCCTTTTGACAGTACAGTTCAGGGAAGATTCCGGTTGGTTGGTTCAGAGCTGTGCTGCAGCTGGGCATGCAGCAAATCCCTTCGGTTGGTTCCTGTAGATGCAGGTTTATCACTGGCCAGCAGAGAGAGTCCCTATGTGCTGTGTAGGCTAAACACCTGTGTATCAGCATCATGAAAAATGTGTAAAGCATGCACGTAAAAAGATTTTTTCCCCCTTATATAATAGCCAGAAAATGTGGTTCATACTGGGTATTTATTCCATACTTTGTGTTGCACTGCTACAAACACTTCAGCTGGATGACAGTTCTGGAGGAAACTGTCAGAGTTTCCAACCCATTTGTTTGTGTGAAGCAGCCATTCATGGATGACTGCTGCTTCTCTAGCTTGATCCTTTTAATTAAAAATCACTCCCTCTTCTGAGTCTTAATATACTGGTGTTAAGTGAGTTTGACTAAATACTGTAAATTCTCCTGAGTCACCTTAACAACAAAGCATAGATTTGTTCTGCTCAGCCCTCTAATGTCTGGAATTTGAATGTTGCTGGTGACTTGCCTTATATTATTGTCACAAAGTGGGAACGTGGTTTGTTAGTGTATGTTAAGGCATGTATTCAGCTCAGTCACAGATACTTTCCTTACTGTAGATTGGAAAGGATTACTCCGCAGATTCGTTTTACTTGTTAAGCAGCAACTCAGCAAGAAATCTGAGTATCTCTTTGTGCTGCAAATCCTTCTGTGGGTTTAGACAAGTTGGATACTTGTATTTGGAGAATACACAGGAGCCTGCAGTTTTTAACAGATACAGGACTGATGCAACCCCTGCTGCATCAGGTATTCTGCTGCTGTGGCACTTGTCAGAGATGGGGGCACCATAAATCATAGTTTGCTTGGCTGTCCCTTTCCGCATGTTTATATTTGTGCTTTGTATTGAATTTTGAGCATGTGTGAGTGCACATGCAGGTGTGTTTGTGCATACATGTGTGTGTTTATATGACTTGATGCAGCCCATCATGCTGCTTTCACTCAGCTCACTGAGTTTTTGTTTTTGCCCAGTTTGTCATCATACACCAAATTCTTCAATAAAACAGATGCAGTTTATGTTCCAGCATCATTTACTTCAGCTCTTGTCTCAACTGTTCTGCTGTGATGTGTAGTACTAATAACATGAGCCAGGCTACCTGCAAACCAAACAAACCCTCAAGACCAAAAAACTGCCCAGTCTCATAGTTAAACAGCAGGAAGTGCACATGGGCTTCACATTTTAATTAAAGGTGACAACTAAAATGGCTTTCCATAAGCATAATGGTTTTATAATATTGTTGTTTTGGTTTGTTCGTCTTAAATGGTCTCTGTAAAAAGACTGTTATCATAAAGATAATTAGAAGTACAGAGAGAAAACACTGTTGTGTGTATATATAAAATAACTGTAAGCTGCACAGCGAGGCTTGTTGTTTGATCTAAACAAGGGAAAACATCACACGCCCAAGCAAGAAATCTATCTGTGCCATCTTCACCTGTCTTTACTCACAGTGTAGGTTTGTCAAATGTCACTGAAAACATAAAATTTTCCCCCAGAGGTGCTGTAAAGTTTTTGATCTGCATCAGAAATGAGGGCTTATCGGAGAATACAGTAGTGTGTAGATATCTAAAGCATATTGTCCGTGACTGTTATTACACCGTGGGGTTTTATATTATCATCAACTTTGGTATACTATTTAGTTTTGTTTGCAAAAACAATCATTGAGCCAGATTTCCTCAAGAATGATTTCAGAAATATTTGGAAATGTACTTATTATAAAAATAACATTTCATTACTTAATAGGACTTCATCTTGATGCACACCTGCGGACAGGAAGCTATACCAACAAAGATATCGTGGCATACTTTCTATCAGTTTTGTATGAAGGTATTCTAGTTAACGTGATGTTTCTTCCACATTGCTGAGCTCTCTCTGATATCCACAAAGTACTGAATCAACCACTTCTGCCCACATGTTTTTCAATACAAGATCAGCCCACAGGCCTAAAATACAGTTATTCAGTGAGAGCTTCTCTCCCCATTTAAATTACAGTTTGGAAAAAGAAATGTCAAAGCGTTTTTAATAACCAATCAGAACACAGCAAAAATAACAGTATGTACATACAAAAGAGCGTTTGTGAAATGAAAATGTTGAAACAGTGGTGACTTCAGCCCTGTGGAAAAACAAAGCCATGTACAGACTGACTTTTTATTGCACACACACACACACACACACACACCAACAAACACGAGCATTGCACATAGCGCTGTAGGGGGCTGGCTGTCATTTCTAATTTCCCATTCTGTGTCATAAAGGATGCTTTATCTGTAGAGGTTATTGGAGCTGCTTAGACTTGAGGCTTGAACTTGCAACTCTGCAAGGCTTAGT